CCCCGAGCCAGCAGCCTGGACCCAGGGCCAGTCTCAGGGCCACCACCCAGCCCTCCTCCTGAGCCCGTCCACTCACCACCTTGTTGATGTCCAGGGCATGCTGAGGGCTCTCCCCATCCAGCCGGGTCAGGGGCTTGGTCAGGGGCTGCCCGGGACGGGGCAGGGAGGGTTCCTGAAAGAAAGAAGGTGAGCACGATGCCCAGGTAGGGCCAGTCAGGGCATGGGGGGCGGGAGGCACTGCCTTAGAAATGCACCTTGAGTTACTGAAACCCAAATGAAGGCTGAGCGTGATAGTGGGACAAGAGGAAAGTCAAAAGAAATAGAAGAAAGAACTGGGAAGCAAAGGGCATTTATAGAGGTCTAAATACAGGCATGTACATATGCAAATACATTTACATATGACGATGGGGAAATAGATCTATGCACATATATTTATAGGTTTAGTATTAAGGTAGCAGGTGGACATTGGGCCTCTACTCAAGTACTCCCTCAACGCAAGAACACTTTGTTCTATTAAACCGGCATTGCGTGATGCTCACCTTCCCAACACGATCACTGAAGACAAAGTGGGTGCATAAGCAAATGTGGTGAAGAAAGCTCATGGTGCCCGGCTATCAAAAGATATAGCATCTGGGGTCTTAAAGGCTTGGAGATAAACAAGCACCCATCTAGCTGAGGAGAAACAAGGCCCACATGGAGGAAGCACACCTGCCTGTGTGATCAGGAGGTGTCAATGGGATCAGGTATCAGGCATCAAAGACCAAGAACAAAAAATCATATCATTGTGAATGAGGGGGAGTGCGGAGTGGAGACCCAAAGCCCATCTGTAGGCAACTGGACACCCCCTTACAGAACAGTTGCAGGGAGGAGAGGAGCCAGTCAGGGTGCAGTATAGCACCACTGAAACATACAACCTTCCTCTAGAGCTTTAATTCTCCACCCCCACACTATCATAACCCAATTCTACCTTACAAATCTGGCTAAACCAGAGCATGTAGACAGGTACAGATAAGAGCTGGAAACACAGGGAATCCAGGACAGATAACCACCTCAGGACCAATAATGAGAGTAGCGAGACCAGGAGGGCAAGGGGAAGGTGCGAAGAGAAAGGGGGAACCGATCACAATGATCTACCTATAACCCCCTCCCAGGGGGATGGACAACAGAAAAGTGGGTGGAGACAGGGGTCAGTGTAAGACATGAAAAATATATATATAAATTATCAAGGGTTCATGAGGGAGGAAGGGGAGAAATGAGAAGCGGATACAAAGGGCTCAAGAAGAAAGAAAATGTTCTGAAAATGATGATGGCGGCAAGTGTACAAATGTGCTTGATACAATGAATGGATGGATGGATTGTGATAAGAGTTGTACAAGCCCCCAATAAAATTATTTTTTTAAAAAGTAAATGCACCTTAGATTAGAAAATGGAGACACACACATGCATGCGCACACACGCACACACACATACGATACATACTATACACACGCACCCACACACACATGCACACGCAGAGCATTCCGAAGCATGACCGAGTACAAAGAAGGAATCCAATCCCCTCGCCCAGCAAGGCGAGGTATGAACGTATGTAAAGGTATGTAAAGGTATGAACGCTACCACCCCCGTTGGTTTATAAACCACATCGGGCTGTGCGTCTGGTTTTTCACTATTGCAGCACGCAGGGAGTTACAGGCTGGGCTGCTAACTGTAAGGTCAGCAGCTCCAATCCGTCAGCCCCTGTGCAGGAGAAAGGCTTTGTAGTCCGGTGAGAAGCTGCAGTCCTGGGGACCCAGAGGGGCCGTCCCACCCTGCCCTGCAGGGCGGCGGTGAGCCAGTGGCATCGGCTCCACGGCCATGAGTTTTTGAGTTTTAGTGAAATTTACAGAAGCAGTTGGCAAAGCCCGTGGTCTTTCCACTCCATCCCTGAAGACCCGTCGGGCTTCCCAGGCCACGGGGCATTCCAGGCCGTACAGTTCACTGGCGTTCTTCCACCCCTCGCCCCCCCACCGTCCATTTCCAAAACTCTACCGGAACTGCAGCCCTCCCCTGGCCTACCCCAGCCCCAGGGCCACTCGGCAGCGCTGGTCTCTGCCGTGACCACGGAGCACGACCAGGCCCTGTCCTGTCTGACTTGGTCCACCCGGCCAGGTGTTGTCACAGAGCCTCTGTGTCACCGCAGGGATCATGAGCCCAGTTCCCTTGTTTAAACAGGCACCAGGGACAATCACCCTGTGGCTTCAGGTCCTTGCAGGTGGCAAGGCCATCCCACAAGTGTAACACAGGTGTGGCGTGATGAAGCTAACTAACGTGAGACCTATTAGCCATCCAGGCACAAGGGATACTTTTGTGCATTTCAGCTCCCTGCACCGCCCAATCGCCGGCCCGAGGGAGAAGGGAAGGCTGCTTCTGCCCGGGGAGCTGAGCAGCAGCCGGGATACGCTCAGGCCCACCTGGAAACTGGTGGAGACATAGCTGGAGAAGGGGAAACGGTCGATGTCCGGCGGGAGGGCCAGACTGGGCCGGGCAGGGACTTCTGGGGGCAGTGACTCTGTGATGTTCTCTTCCAGGGCGCGCTGCCGGCCTGGGGAGGCACACAAGGAGACAGACCCAGGTTCAGCTTCCAATGAGGGTCCTACACACCCCTCTCCAGGGGCAACCGGCACCCGTGTGGAGGGCTTGGAGGGTGGGTAGTGAGCTCTGGGGAACCCAGAGCACCATAGGGACCCCAGTGGACGGCCACAGCACAGTACAGGGACTGCAGTACCTCCCTGCAGGACTCACCTTCCGCTGTCTTTAGCATGGCGGCCAGCTCCGCCGGGATCTCCAGGCGTCCTAGCTCCTGCGGAGAGGGCCATTTGGCCCAGGAACTCAGGAGGGGACCTAGGGACCCAAGGTCCCTCCCAAGACTGAGGGGGACTCTGGACAAATGGACAGGGCCCTGAGAGCCCTCAGATGGATCTCAGGAGCACTGGAGAAAACAGGTCACCCCACCCCCACCCCATGTCCCAGGGGGACAAGGGACAAGGCCCCAGCAGCACCGCTGGCACACCTCTCTCCCCTTCAAGCAGTCCCAGGGGTAGCCAGTTCACCCCCCAGTGTAGGACTCCCTCCAGGCCCCCCACCTACCATGCTTGGCGTTGTTTCTGAGCCCCCGCTCCTGTGCCGGCCACACGAGTATCCAAGCTGCTGGGGAAGATGCAGGAAGGGCTAACACCCCTGTGGGGAGCCACCTTGAGCCCCCCCCACTCTAGTGGCAACTCTCCAGCCCAGCAGATCAGCTGCCCCTTCTGCTCGAGGGCCAGGCTCCGGCAGACAAAGGCGTGTAAACCATCACCATCCCCCGCACTGAGCTGCCTGGCCATGGACCCGTCCCTGCCAGCCCCTGGCCCTCGGAGGTCTCACCAGCCCGGGCACTGTGGGTGTCACTGCCGTCTGCCAGGGTACCAGGAAGAGGGCAGGAAGAAGGAAGGGGAAGGATGGTTTCAGGGGAACAAAGTCCAGCCTGGGAGGGGCCCAGCAGGAGGGCACGATGTGGGCAGTGACCTTTGAGCTGCTTTATGGCCCTCAAACTACAGTCATCAAGCAGGAGAAGGGAGCTGGGGTCTGACTGGGGTGGAGAGGGAAGAACACCTCCTCCCAGCCAGACGAGGGAATCCGCCGGAGCTCAGTGTGCGATGGTCTCTGGAGACGTTGCCTGGTCAGGCCAGGAGGGTGGACACTGCCTAGGTTCCCCCAGCACTGACAGCCAAGGCTGCCTGGCTCCACTCTGAGCTGCCCCAGCCCAGCAGCCCTGCTCAAAGCCTTTCACCTGCCGTCTCTGTTGTCTCCAGAGCAGGGGCCGGGCCACCAGCAGGATGGTGTTCAGCTGCCCCAGAGCTGCCCGTCGCCGGAGGTATCGCTTCCTGGAGGCCAGGGAGAGAGAGGTCTGAACTTACACCTCCTACCTGATGCCAGAATCTTCTTCCTCTGGGTAAAGAAACAGCATCTTCGGGATATCTAACATGAAGAATAGGATATTACACAAAAGGACCAGATCACGGAGAAGCAGTTTAGCATAGGACTAAAAGTCTAGGCACTAGGGTGGATAAGATGCCCAAACCACATCCGTTGTAGTAGGGTCAATTCTGACTCACGATGACCTCATATGAATAGGTTGCCAGGCCACACTGTCATGGCACTGCTGGCTGGGTTTGAACCACCAACCTTTAGATGAGCAGGCAAAGAAAGCTCTGCACCACCAGGGACCCCAGAGGCAGACGCAAACCAAAAACCAAACTGAGTGTGGGGGGTTGGGGGTGGGGGTCAGCGGGGAGTCCAGCACCCACCCAGGGGATGGTATCATCCACTTTGGGAAACCATGAGAAGACAAAAACAAGGTGCTGGCTCAGAGCGACCCTGTAGGACAGAGTAGAACTGCCCCCAGGGGTTTCTGAGACGGACTCTGTACAAGAGTAGAGGGCTCCGTGTCTGTCCCATGGAGCAGCTCGTGGTTTCTAACTGCAGACCTGCGGCCCAACGTGTAACCACCATGCCACCAGGGCTCCCAGAGCCAGGCAGCCTGGGTTCGAATCATTCCCTGCTCAGGCTCACCGTGGTCCTGGATAAATCACTGTACATCTCTGTGTTCGACTTTCACCCTCTGTAAAAAGAGGTGATAATAACGACCCAGGGGGATAAAGAAATGAACAGATGCCAGTATTTAGGACAGTCTGGCACATTGTGATTCGACCAAGAGACAGGGAGAATGGCTGAAAATTGAGAAAAGAAAAGAAGAGAAAAGGAACATCACTGAAAATTGGATAGGAGGGTAGGAGGAGGTACTGAACGAGACCTTATTCAAATAAAATCCCTTTGAGAATTTTCCAGGATGAGAATAACTCCTGGATGCAGGCATTGTGAGCAAGAGGAACATTTAAAGAACACTCATGCACCAGGTACAATAAAAGCACAGCAGCATCCTGATACCCTAGAAAGCACATAGGAACCCCAAGAAGAGGTTTGCCTGCAAATGGACCAAAACGGAGGGGGCAGCAGATTTCTGATGAGCAAAGAATGGGGAGGGACGGTCTTCAAGCGATATCGCCCAAGCACGGAGGGGAAAGAATGACTAACTCAGAATTTTATTCCCAGCTAAACTATGAACGGGAGTGAAAAGGACCTTCTCAATGAAGGGATTTAACAGCTCGGTTGCTTGTGGGTCCAGAGTCACCTTGATGGTCATGGTAAATTTAATCTGTTTCGTGATTACGGAAGAACTACTTCAAGAGTGTACTTCAGAAAGGAGGAGGCAGGTCTCAGAAGGATGACGTGAGAGAGAGTCTATAGGTCCTCAGATTTATTTGGCTTGCTGCCCCCTTTTCAGAAAAAAACAAAAAACAAACTAGCACCCTCCCCCAACAATGTAAACCTCTGTACTCCAGCCCACAATCCACGAGGGAGGGTGGGGAGCTGATTTTGCGGCCCCACTGGATTGTTCCAAGGCTGCCCCCACACCCAGGGGACGGGATCCCCCACTTTCTGAGAAACCTGAGATGGAAGATGAAAACAGGAAGAAACTGACTCTCTAGGAAGAAATTACCTATTGGTGCGACTGCATTTTGAAGACACAAATTGGTGTGACTGCATTTTTACACAAACAAGCACATTCTGTTTTCTTATCAACTCTGCCTTCCCCCTCCCGAGCCATTTTGGCAAGCATATTATTTAATTAGGAAAAAAACAAATATAAAATTGATTGTATTGATTTAAATTCATTTTTAGGGGCTTAGGTGGAGGTGTGATGTTTTGAGAATGATGAGGGCAATTGATGCACAAATGTGCTTTACACAATTGATGTATGTATGGATTGTGATGAGTTGTATGAGCCCCTAATAAAATGATTTAAAAAAGAAAGAAAGAAAGGCTGGATGAACAATCTGGAGGAGAAAACAACGGGACCGACAGTTCTGGGGGGACATGGGAGAGGGGG